CTAAGGGAAAACATCTGCCTATAGTCAAACATTTAATTGCCTTCCACACCAAAATTCATGAATCTGTACCATYTGAGCAAAATATAAACCAGCCACATATTTATGTAGCATTCTGAAATCARGATTTCTGACTCCTGTAGTATGAAGGCTACCCAACACAGAGCAGTTTGAATTTTCAGTGTAATCCTCTGCTTCCCCACTTATTTTAAGAATGAGATTATTTATTTCTGAAAATACATCCCAAATGAATCAGAGGGATCAGCTTCYGTATCTTGAGTGGTCTGACTTTAAAAGAAGACACTGTGGATGGTGAACCACAGAGGTATTGCTGAGGACAAATTACTTTGCAGAAAGTAACTGTGACTATTTGCACAACCCTCATATTTGCTTTTTCTATAACCAACCAAAGAAATTCCCCCACACTCTTGACTTAGATAAAGAATTCTAAGCCATTAAAAAGCAACATGCTCAGCATACATAAACACATCTCTTTACTGATTGCTCCAGACATGTTCTATCTTGCTTGAAGTGAGGAGCAGCACTGAAGAAGCTATTTAAGGTTCCTGCACATGCCCCAACCCCAGGCTCAGTCAAGTGAAAGAGCCTGTGCTGACAGAAGAGGAAGCTCCCCTCCCCGGGAGGCAGGAGCTACAGGTTTGTTTACAGCACTGGAGAAATCGTGTACTTGTCTTTGGTTGTTCTTCTCATTTTCTCTGAAATTCCCAAATCTCAATGTGACACCGTTCTCAGAAGTTTGAGCAGGACTCCCAGCTATTTGTTGTTTCTAATGATTTGCATCCTTAAGAARTAATCAAAAACAGCATAGAAAATGTAAATGTGAGGAAATGGGATGGGTATTCATTCAGCCATGCAGCTGGAATTCAGGAACTGCTGTAATTGCACACGAATAACATAATTTGCCTCCCTCGTAGAYGTTTTTGCTTATTCACATCACGTCTTTCTTTTTCAGGGTTGTTGTTGAAGTTCCTACACCCTGCAAGATGAAACAACCACTCTCTGCTGTTGCTATCCCAAGCCTGAGATGCTGAGTTGCATTGGGATGGCAACACCAGGGCKGGCATCCAGGGGGGCATCACAGAGCCACAGAGCCACCAGACAGGAACTTTCACTCCASTGGGTGCAATGGCAGAGGAAGAAAAATCAGCTGGGATCGTACTGGTGGAAATGGGGCAGAGGAAGAAATAGCCCCATCATAAATACTGTAAAAACTCTTTAACTAAAGAGAAACAATGCCAAAAGAAGAATATAACCAAGGTTTTTGCCATCAGTATGGTAAACAACTTTGTTCTCCATCACTGTCTCTTGGGTACGTTCTTCTTTTGCTGGATTTTGTAGAAACAGGCTCCCTCACCTGGAGAGACTGTCTTAATGAGAGGTTACTCATGTTACTCTCGGCCATTCTCTCTTTACAACCTATTCTCTGACTCAGGATTTAGGGGTGCCCATATGAAAATCCTCATTATTTACATGAAGACAGAGGAAGTGCTCAGCTGCTGAACTACCAATGCATAGGCTACAGGAATGCCTGCTAGCAAAGCTCTATCTCCCAGCCCTCCCAGCCCTACTTGATTTCTCCAAACTCAACTATCTGAACAAAGTACATGAAATAATGAGCAGCACATATTGCCCTGAACAAGAATCAGATGCAGAAACTATTTGCATATTAGAAATCCTGTTCTGTAGAAAATCAGTATGTGCCAGGAAAATGGAACATATGTGCTGAATGAATTTAGGCAAAGCTGCACCTTTGCTGTGCTGTTTCAGAAAAATCACATTTACTACATCAGTCTGACACTGACATGGGCTTTTCATCAGCATTTTATCAAAAGTGAACGAATATGAAATAYGAACATCAAGTACAAGATGGCAGTACAGCGTTCATAGTTCAACACAGTTAAGCAGGTTTTGGAAAAGGACCTTGCTGAAGCTGAACACCTGCCCTCAAGCACACAACAGACCCCTCTCTGAATATTCAAACAAAGGCAGAAGACAGGATGTGGCAACAGGTTAGTTGAACAATGCACACCTGCACCATGGGGGGACAGACAGCCCACAGCAGCCCTCCTGCTCTGTTTGCTTGTGGGAGATCTCCTGGGGGATGTCAAGGCCAGGAGATGGCTGTGCTTCTGGTGAAGACTTCTGCAAGAACCATTTCAAAAAATAACACAGAATTACAGTGGGAGGGTACAGGAAGAAACAGAGAGGAATACAGAAGTCTGGTAGAGTTCTGGATCCTTCAAAACACCAAAGGTGTCAAAAGTGGAAGTTCATCCACAACTTCACCTCAAAGGAAAGCCCAGCCTGTTTCCCTCCTGGAGYTGACTGGCTGCCTACTCAAATGGTAGGCAGTGAACATGTATTTTCTTTCAGTACTTTGTGCCTGTGGTGGTAACTCCCTTGGAAGAACTGCATAGCAAATCCTTTTCRGCAACTGCAACACACCAGTGGAAATTATTTATTACCAAATGTAGTTTGAACCAAATGAAAGGAAGAGTCAGGGATACTTCTGCTGCTTTGGAAAAATGGGGTATTGATCACTGGCAGAGGAGGAGGTGTTCCAAGTACTAAGTACAACACTTTAAACATTAAGTCGACACTGTGGACATCRTGTTCTCACTCCAAGACTCCTTGCTTACAGACAGACATCCACTTGTTAAACAGCATGGGAACACCCCCATCCACGGGCTGCTTGACAGTGTTGGTCTTATTTTAATACCACATTTCTGAGCTTCTTGATATCAGACACCTGGGTGGATATTTGGTTAGTCAAATACATGACTGATATATTGMTAGTGTCCAATAACAAACAGTATGATATTTTTCAACTTTCTGTTTAGCACAGACATTGTCATTGAGCTGTGGCTTTCTAAAGACATCAGTTTTCAAGAAAACATATATGGTCATGAATAAGGATTGTACTTCTGCAGTTTCTGTATTGTTTTCAGATTTATTCTTTAAATGGTTTCAGTAAACATACACAAAAATAAAGAATCAAAAAGTTACCCTTATCCGAGTATTGTACAGTTTATTTGATCAGCCTGTTCATAGCAAAAGATGTCACAGGGATGCTGAGATAAAAACCACAGTTTTTGCTATTAATCTCCCATTCAATTTTCTAGTGGAGCTATTAGACTATCTACAAATGCATAAAAATTTTGTATTGTTTACGATTAGACTTGCTAATCAAGTGTATCCTTATCTCAGTGCATATTTACTAGCAATGATAAGACTTTTTTGTAAATTATGGCATTCCATCATTGAGAAAACTGGAGAAGTTGCTCCACTTTGGGTAGCATTTACTTCTGGATGGAGAAAATGTCCTGTTCCTATTGTCTGGGCTGACCAGAACACACAGAATGCCCACCTTCAGGCAGCCCTCRAGAACCTGCTATTTTCTCACTCTTCCCCACCATCTCTGCAAATACAAGTGCAGACGGAGTATCCAATCCTGAGATACTCAACAGGGTACATTTTGCTCACAAGACACAGACATGCAGTATCTCCTATATTCCTGCTGGAAATCCTGTTCTTCAACCGTTCTTCTGGCGTGGCTGGTTGTTATAGTTATGAGAGGAAAACATAGTGCTTGAATGATCTTGTCAAAATGGCACTTGGTGGATTCCAGAAAAATTCAATCCATGGCACAAATGAATGTATTTTCAAATAGTGTCTAGAAGCATCAGAATTCAGAAGGTACTGAAATAAATATTTCTTTAACTCACCCCAAAAGAGAGACAATAGCTACAGGAATTGTTACAGTAGAAGCAGCAGCTTCTGGGAGAACCAGAGTAAGACAAATCACAGTCCAAAAAGAGTGAATATACTATGATATTACAAGTAGATGTAGACTTGCCAGCCTTTTTTTTTTTTTTTTAAATCTCCATGTTATATGCTGAAAATGCAGCTGTTGATAAAGTCAGAGCTATTCAAGGGCACTAATTTTTTCACARCTGATAATAGCTGCATTTCTTTTTCCATGATTTTCTCCATGTAAGATCAAACCCCAATTCCTGTTCATGTTTTGATCAGCCATTGGAGACAGACACTGTAAGGCTTCAATTTTTACAGTACTATAATGTATTGTGATTGGAGATTACAAAAAATGATTCGTTATTTTTAAAATACATACTGCAGCACTAAGGTACTGAAGAATTTCTGATTAGCTGAACAACTGTTTTGCTCTGCATTGTTTGCACAATTCTTAAAACCACCTGTAGAAGAKGTGAAATCCTGGCCCAGGGAAGGCTGAAGGAGGCTGCACCTCATCCATGAAAATGGGATCTCAGAATATTGCTAAGGTATCTAGTAAGAAACTCAGCAGTAATTTATAAACTCATTGACATGGCTATATAGGAATATTTCTAGTTTGTCAGAATAAGTCCTACTATTCATCATCAGCATAGTTATAGCCTACATCAATCATCTACACTTCAGTCACCTTGTTCATTCTCATACTCTGCTGATTCAGCTTTAAATTTTATTTCACTGATAGGAGTCTTTCACTAAGGTCACAAAAGTGCCTTCAAAGTAAGGAAAGCGGTTCTGTCTAACAGATCCTCAGTTACTACTCCTTCTCTAGTTAACCTAATTTCAGTCAAATTAACAACATTCCACAAAAATTATATCCTCATCCTTTGGATTTACACTGGAAATAATCATCAATACTCATAAGGTTAGCACAGAAGAAATTAGATTGAAAAAATATCAGTAGCACCAAGTTTTCTCACTGTTTACTTTTTAGGACCTTTACTTTAGGTCTAATTTGTGCTCCAAATTTGCAGCTGAAGGGTTTTGAGGGTCTGGGCTGCTTGGTGGGGATGATTAGGGTTACTGAAAATGAAATTTTGTGACTCAAGTTTTGCAGCACTTATCAGTCCCATCATGTTTCATTTATCAAAGTCTAATCCACATCAGAAATTACAAATCCCTATGATCCCTGCTATTGTTTTATGTGGACTAGTTGACACATGAACACTTCAAAACTTCTTTCCATTACAAATTGCAGTCCTAGGTATTGATACAGGAGATCCACAAGAACCAAGTTCAGCCCAGCAGTAGCTCGAAGATGGAAAGGCACTGTAAAGTTTAGCCCAAAGTTCCCATTATGGACATCTAAATAAGTAAAAACAAAAGCAGGTAGTAAACATTTTTGAAACAGGCMATGTATTTACATCCAAGCACTTCAGTAAGTGTGACAAATGTTGCCAYCTCATGGACAGGTGCAGGGTTTGATCCAGCTCAGCGGTAGGAAGGAAAACAGATCACGGAGATGATTCATCGCTGCCCTTTCACACTCCCCTGAGGGAGGAAGCCAGAGCTTGGCCAGAAGGATGCTTTTGTCACTTGGGTCTGAATCCAGAAGTATGGCCATGCATCCACAATTGAGGGGGAAAAAAGCAAGCAACAAAAAAAGAAAACATAAAAAGAAAGCAAGAAAGCAAGAAAAAAAGAAAGCAAAGCAAATCAAAGCAAGAAAGACAAACAAGAGTAAAGACTACATATGTTCAGGGTATTTGACCATTTCTAACATAAGAGCAAGGAGGAAAGACTAATGATATTTCCTTGAAAAAAAACCATAACGTTCAACTTAGGACCTGCCACAGTCTTCTGCTGCCAAACAGAAGGTGAGCAAAGGTGTCAAGGTGAGATTTCAAGAGAAAAACATCTAAGTAAAAAGCTGTGAGATGTGAAGTTTTCAAGAGGGTTACAGAAATCCTCAGACTCATGAAGACAATAACCTCCAACTGGACTAGAGGATTTTAATGCTCCATAAGTTGACAATCTTCTACTTGTAACCTAAATTGTAGTGTATTCTGTCAGGTATTTCCAAGGATGAAGTTTTATGTTACAATACCACATTGTTTATTCACTACTCCACCTCTTTTGGGGAACTGCTGCAGAAAGACGCTGTCACCTGTTGAATTGCTCCCTTTCTGATGAAAAGGCAGCTGTGCCATCCTCTCCTACAGGAACAAGGCTGTTACAAAAGCCATTCCATGGTGTGTATCTTAAAAATACGTTAATTCCACACGGCATTATAATTAGCATTTCATGTAACTGGATGAGCATAAAAGGGCTATARAATGTTGAAGCAAAAATAATACATTTCAAGTTGACACAGAGATAAAATTTTCAGAATCAATTACTTCTTTAAAGTAGAACTTTGTAAAAATAGTTTCATTRTCAACATTTATGAATGGTCTGAAAAAGAGACTATGGTGACTAATTGGGAGTTTCCTATCATCCTGATCTCCATATAACAGCRTAACAGTCTGCCTACATACTACTGAAGGGAAAGATGAGTTTGTACCAGCWTGATTTTTAAATATGTTCTTATGTTTATTATACTTTGCTACCCCACTCTCCTAAAATGGTGGCCTCAGGAAAAGCTGCTTTGGCAGGCAATTGCAAAGATTCCTGTGGAGAGGAAGTGAAAAGACTGGGCATACAAACAACGGCTGCTGCCATGTTCAAAGCACTGGGGAGAGTTCATAGAGCAAAATGCAGTCCTAAGTAAATGGGTTTCAGGCAATTTCAGTGTTAAGATAACATCATTAAGAGTAGAACAGATTGTGCTCAAACCCTGCTGTTTATAATTAACACATTGCTTCCAAATACTCCAGGGTCCCTGGTAAATAGTCCTCTGCTCAGATCCACCCAGACCAATCAGAGTATTTTCATCAGGTTCCATGCTGGGCCAGCACCTGTTTGGACAAATCCAAAAGCGCCAAAATACTCTTCTTTCTGGCCAGCTAAGTAGAGAGATGAACACAGCTTGCCTTAGTCATTGTCACAGTGTCCATATGGCTGTGAAGCTTGTTTTCACAAGAAATCGTACAAGTACTTTATTATGTCGAAGTTCACAGTCCTATAAACAAAAACACAGTATATTAGAGCAATCATCTTAACACTGCTAAAACTTTAACCTGTTTGGAGACAGCAATGTGGGACATTCTGTGCACTCAAAATCAAGCAATATCCCCAAAAGAAATGCAAGMAAGGATTAATGAATTTTTAATTTCTATCATTATTTACAGCACCTCTCTTCTGATTATTTAAACTTTGTAGGATTCTAAAAAAGAAATAAAACAACTTCCTAGTTAAGAAATGAAGATTCTTATTTCAATAAGAAATTAACAGTAAAAATTAAACAGTAAAAATATATCAATATTAATAAGATTRTATTTTCATATGGCAAACTTGCTATTCTAGTTGGTGATGCAAAGCAACAACCTTTTATGCTATTGAATGTTTTGTTCATCTYCCAAACCACCTGTTTTTAGCATGTACTATGTAACTCCTTCATTTCTATTCATTTGCAGTCTGTGTTGTTTCAGTCTTGACAGCAGTTGACCCATGTTCATAGCTAAATTTGAAAAATCCAAGAATGCCACTCAATGGGATAGAAGATTTTAATGTACACTTTTGTACTTTAATGGCAGGCAAAATGAAACAGCAGTAGAATAAAACATATAATTATTTTTTTTGTCTCTAAGCTCATTCTTCTATACAATCTAACACTCAGACTTTAGGGTTTACTGTTTGAATAAATAATGCAAATTACTGCACATAATGACAAGTATAAAATTAAAAGATTTTTTTTTTTAAAAAGTATTTAGTGATACAAAAATAACTGCTAACAATACTAAATGAGATTAGCTAGCTGAATTCTTATTTGTTGGACTACAATCATTTAATGTTCTCTGTTCATGCATCAGCCTGTAACCCACTTTTCAAAAAGTTTCCATACAACATCATATCGGACAGAGAAAAAGTTTAGAAATCCCCAAGATACATAACAGGAAACACTCAGTTGGAGTCTAYTTAGTAATCCAGTGACAAATTTGAAGACATTAACTGCCACTGTTAAGCTTGCACAACATTGTGTCACTCAAAAAAAGTGCTTTAATTACAAGGCTTTCCACAGAAACAAAATCACACTCACTAACACATGCTGACCTTATCAACTAAATTAAACAGAATTGTCCTGTCATAACAACTGGGTTTATTACAGACTCTCTGAAAAGATCCATTACATTCAATAAACACTAAGAGAGTCCCACTTCAGCTAGAGAAAATGTATGAACTTARGTTTGAAATTATTTCTAACAAAGGAATACCTAACTTTATCTTCATCTAAACATTTAACTACTATGTGGTAAAAAACATGGAAATGTTTCCACAAAGACTAAGTATATGCCACAGAACAGGGCCAAACATGAAGTTCTGTGGTAATAAAGAGAGACGGTGCACTTTAGCAGTTACCACATTAAAATCACCAGGCCAGGAAGAGACACAAGTTTTTTACTCTTTTCCAAAAACAGGTAGCTTTTTTTAAAATGCAGTCTTCACTTTTTCTTAAAARATACAGAAAATGAAATGACAATCTGAACAGCTTGAATGGGGGTGGGGAGGGAAAGAGCATCCTTTTCTGTCCCACTCCTTGCACTCCTCAACCTTCCATTAGGGAATAGGAATAACAAGGAGTAACAAGGCTGAGATGGGAGCAAGGCTGAGGTATCTGAAGATTTTAGTGACTAACAAACTTATTTCACTACGACTGCTGTAAGAGAGAAAGAAGAATCAGAAGATGATGGGCTGCTTACTTAATATGTATTTTGGCTGAAACTGCAAAGCAGTTTCTTCTCTGTGACAAATATAACCACAACTATTGCACAGATAGAAAATAAAATTTCCTTAAGGACATAAGATCATGCCTACAGCTAGCAGCCCCACCAGAGAAGAAGGAAACTCATTTAATATGAGTGTGTGAAAACATGTTKTTTTTTTTTWATGGATTTTCCTCCTTTAGGATTTAATAAATACTGTGGGCTGAAAAATGTATTTTACTAAAAATTGCAATACAAGAACAAAGCAAGATTAAAAAAGGGGGAAACAGGAGAAAAGAACAGGCCAACTTTAAAATCCATCATGTCAGGTAAACAGCCATATACAGGCTGCAAACTACTTGGATGGGGAGAAAAAACCAACTGCTTTCTTCTTCATAACACATAGAAAAAGTCAGTTTGGATACACATATGTGTACATACATACATATATATACACATATACAGTCATCAGACCTAAAGGAAAGCATGCCAGAACACCACAGCATACACTGAGGTTTGAAGTGACAGTGTCTCTGGCAACTACTTTCTCCAGTAAGCATGAGCTGCACAGCACAAGTTTGGTCCTGTTTTCTGGCCATCTCTACCTTTGAGCAACTTTAATGGAGTCCCTGAAACTTCTAAGGATGTTAAAGTTGCAAGGTAAGGGCTTGTCATTTCCAGTATCCCAATTCAAGCCTACATCCAATGTATAAGTGCATACACAATGATCCATGTTGCTAAGCAGATGGTCTGCTGTACTTGGTACCAGGGGGAGCTTTTTCAGGGCATCACTCACAAGTGACTTTACTGCCGGGAATAGCAAACTGACATAGAAAAGCTGGGGAGGTCCTGGCAGTGTGGTCTGGTCAGACCTGAGCCAGACAAAGTTTCATYCTCTGGCCTGTCCAACTGAAAACTGAAATTACTGAATCTGTTCCCTTTACTGACAAGGCTACTGGACATTCAGTAGCTCAAGAGAGCAACATGTGCACTGAGGTTATGGCATACAGTCTACACCTCAGGTTCCTCTGAAATCCCATATTAAAGAGAAGAGCTGACCCTGAGAACATTTCTCCTTTTTGACACATGTAATTTCTGGACTCTGTTTTGGTTATAGACTGTTTATTCAAGACTTGCTAATAAGATGGCAGCAACAGGTATGATGCAATGGTGGCATTTAATAAATACGAGACATAGGCCTCATTGTTGCCTTTGTATTGCACATATTTCTGTTTGCAAACTATTGCCATCTCTCCTGATGGATCTGGAACTGTTCTCAGACTTCACRACTGAAGGCTCTAGATAAACAAAGATGGTGATATACCTATGTCCACTGACTGAAATAGCTTGTATCAATTACAGATCACGCAGGATAGTYTATGTGTAAGACTTCTTATAACCTATGTAGTTTTTATATCATATGCACAACACTGTTAAGAACTCAACATAATTTCAGATTCAAATACCATAATTTGYTTTTTTGTAATGAAATGACTGACATTTTAGAGCAGTATTTTCACATGAAGTCCCTGACCTTAATTAAGCACAAAGACAGTATGTTACTGTAACACATAGTGCCACTGTAACATCAATCTTTTTCGAAACAGGAGGGGACTATACTTACCTGGGTACAACATTTCTCATAAATAAGATGACTTAGTCAGTCATTTTCAGAAAACACCTAGGTTTTCTATGCTGGTCTGCAAAGAGCTACAGACTAAGCAAATGGTTCGAAGTCTCTTTGAAGTCAGCACATACCACAGCAAACAAACTCAGACTCACCGGGCAACAGCTCTGATGAAGTCCAGAGATACAGTACATTTGTATCGCGGTCCATCAAGCTGGTCATTCTGGCCAACCATGGATAACAGCTGGAGTGTCACAAGAGAGGTGATCTACAGACAAGAGACAGTAGCAATGTTAGTAGTTTTTGTTAACATGAATAGCAGCAGCCAATTTATTGCTTTTTTTTTTTTTTTTTCAATTGGCACAAATCCCATTTTTCTCTAGAAAGTCACTCCTTCTTGCTCACTGATTTCCACATAGTTCTTCAGCTAGAAAACCCAGGAATGTACATACATTTTGTCACTACATTTACAGCAAAGCAGTGAGAGACACAGGCTAAACCCTTCATCCTTCTTATCAAAAATTATCCTGGAGTTTGGATCAGAGGAACAGGAATAATAGGCATGAGCTGAGCATTTTCCAAATCTCTGCCTGACAATCAGGAGAGACTTGGATTTTCTTTCCTTTATCCCTGAAGACTGGCTTTTGAACTTTCCCACTCAAAGTTGGATATTCCTGTGCCAGCTGATACCACATTCTGAACAGATGGATGTATCACTCTACTCCAGATTAAAAAGAACTTGAAGGCTGGAAAGAAAAGGCTGGAAGACTGTATGCTTAAAAAGAGCAGGGCCTGAGTTGAGAGAAATTTGCCTACAAACACACATACAGTATCTTGACAGAGCCATTGATTATTTTACCAAAATAGCAATGTACCAGCATACTTTTCCCTGTCTTTGTTCCTCCAGTGATGGCTGTGGTACCACTGAAGTGCAATCGTGGGGTGTCACCACTGAGAAAGCCAGCACGTTCTGACTCAGTTAGGAAAAGACACTGCACTGATTCCATTGTCTCCTTATCTCCTCCCAGATACCAGGGAAAGAAAAAGGTAAAAGCAGAAAATAAATTTTTTCCCTGGCCTTTGCAATAGATGTCACTGACAATTCAGGGCAATGGGATTACATTCTGTGACAAACTGGTATCTGGCCACAGGTCTTGTTTTCAAAAAAACAGCCAACCATGACCTACTTCTGAATAATGATAATAGGACAGTAAGGAATTTCTCAGGAATAAATGTATCAGRAAAGAAAATGTCAGTTCAAATGTTCAAGGAAACACAGTGCTATAAAAGCATCAGCAAGTTCTTACCAGTATCAATAAAAAAACCAATCCTAACTCTGTAATAATGACACTTTTTTTCTGAAAGTACACTTGGTTTTCAAATTTGTGACACTGCTTGTAGGAGGTAGGAATAATATAATATAAAAATGACACCTACTTGTGGAGAAGAGAAAAAATATAATACCCAAGAATGAGGCAWTTTTTTTAACAGCCTGTGCTTAAAAAAACCTTTCTTTTATATAGCATAAGACAAAAATAGTTTGGATGCCATAATTCTGCAAAGTCTTTGGAGTTTGGTTAAGGAATGCTGGCCTACACACAGTCACAAATTTAATTTACTTAATTTAGATCTATAAATTACACGATTTATCAAATTTTAGCATTGATAAAATTTCAGAAAATTTAACTCAGTATATGGCAAATGGCTCAAATTCCAGTTTATTAATCACTTTGCACATTTCACTGGATTGGGATAAACCTCGAACTTGTTAGGTGTTTATAGTCATAAAATATTCATGAGTTTGGAAGCACACTCTTCTCCATTCTCCACTCAACAAAGTCCTTATTCAGTCAGTGAAGAAGCACTATGGAGGAATCTGCTGTAACAACCGCACCCTCGTGCACCAGTACTGGCAAATGACTTTTGCACTATACACTTGCAGCTGGTCTCAATTCAGAAATCACCTATGAGGGAACAGCAGGAGGGTTCCTTAAAGCTCCTCATGGCCACAGCAAAAGCCTGCACAGTTTGAAGTTGGACCCATCTCAGTTTTATGTGGGATGTAAAACTGATCTTGCTGCTGTGTTACAAATGCTCCAGCAATACTTCAACAASTTATACATTTTCTCTTCCAACTAGCAGCAAATGCTCTGTGTGTGACATGAGGTCAGCAATGTAAAACTCCTTACTAATGGCTGACTCAAGAAATCTGAAATAGTATCAGACCGGACACTAAGTTTCATTAATGTTCTTGACTCAACACAATAAAGACTCATCTACAGTATTGCAAGACAAATGAAGCTATTGATCATCAGAGTAACAAAYTTACTAAGAAAACTGAAACCTTTTACATATTTCTTTCACAATACTTAGTTTAATAAAATGTCATCATAGGGAAGCAAGTGCTGAAACAGCAAGTTCTGACCCTGATACCACTTAAAAAGACAGCTGTAGAGAAAATTGCCATTTGCAATTCATACAGGCAAGAAACAGTTTTATCCCCAAACAGCCTCAGGAGAAACAAAGAGAAAGAACTTAGATATAAGGGAAGTATGTAGGCACCAGCTTTCCTACAGACAGCCAAATGCTGGAAGCTAAAATACCTAACTTGTTAGTCTCTGGAGTAGAATTCAACATGTAGTTACAGAGGCCTAGTTGTGCAGGGAGACCTCTGAAGGACATGTCCAAAACCATGCCTGCTGAGGGGGCAGCAGCCTGGAGCTTTGCACAACTTCTTCAACAGGTTCAGGGACAATCAAAACCAGTAAAGGACTTCGGTCACCCCAAAGCAATGACTTCTTAAATTTTTTCATGCTTTACACAGTATAGCAGGAGAATCCTGCAGCTGAGTCAGCCACAGAAATGGGCAAGACACCTATTTTGTGCAATAAGTTGCTTTGTTGGAAAAGATTGAATTGTGGTAGATGTGCAATTATCAAGTTTTTCTAATATTCTGTGCTGAACCTAGACCCAGTAAATAAAAGATTACTGTCTTCATCAAATAGTTCAGAAGTCTGCTGGGAGACAGAAGGTCCAAATCCCTTCTGATGCAAGAGGCTTGAGCGCCTCTTTGCTGAATGTCTGACAGCTACCTGGGGTGGGGGCAAAGAAAAGAGGAAGAAAAAGCCACGTAGGGTATTAAATTGCCACCAGACCTAACTTGCACTCTTAACTGCTTCTGAAGCTGAGCTATTTTGCATGAAATTGCAATCACACAGTCTCTCTCTCTCTCTCTCTCTGTGCCTACCTAGGGCATTCACCTGGCAAAGCAGGATACAGTGGAATGAACTGGGTTTAAGACCTGTATTTGTAGCAAAATTTTACAATTCACCAACATTCATGCACTTAAGTTAACTCTTAAGTACCAGGTGCTGCTTATAACTTCAGCACTGAATAACAATTCCTACTTTAAAAGTTCAGRTGTTGTAATGCTTTGGAGGCAATATGTTCTTAAATTAAGACATCTCAAAAGTTTGAAACACAGATGGAAAAATATTAATGTCATGCCAAACTAATTGTAGTTCTTAGCCAAAAATACACTGCCGCTTTTGAAAGCACTTTTTTTTAATACCATGGGTACAGTGGCTCCATTTCATTATCACAAAAGCTTGGGAAAAAACATCTGGCAAGAACAGACTAGAAACAAGCCAGAAAAACTGTGTGGGTGACATAAGAAAGAATATTTATTGAGAATCTTTTTAACAAAAGAAATTACAGTTAGAAGAAATATTCTCAAAAAATACTTAAATTTGCGATGATTTAATACTAGCAAAAGTTAAAAAGTAAATTACATTTTCTACAGGAATAATAAGAAAACCAGAAAAAAAACTTACTTAGCTGAAAGATGTAAAGGAACAGGTTTCACTGGTATGTTTAAAAGTAAGTGAACATGGAGCTTGCTTTGAAATGTATTTGTGTGAGAAACCTGCTGCTGAAGTCTTGGATCCAAGGTGAGAATAATCATAAAAGCACAGCAGACAATTGCTCCCAGGAGGAAATAACTGCTCAGATTGCTTCTGAGCATTGGTCAAACATGGACATTGAAACCTCTGGAAAAAACAAGCAACCCACAAGCCATCCTTCAAGGCAGCTTTTTTTCCTATCAGCCTGGACTAACAGATGGGCCTTGCATCATTCCCCAAGCAGACACAAAGACCAGCTTTGTGAGCACATGGCTGTGTGCAAGTGAGAAGGATTCCAGAAGCAAGGGCTGTCTGCTGAGAAAGGCCAGGCTCTTCCCAAGGACACCACAAGAAGTCAGAAAATATWCACTGAGGTGCAAAACGTGAGCAGAATTAGAACCCATGATACAGGGAAACACCTGGTTAGTTCAGGTGAGCAATGACAGACTATCACAGGAAATAGTCTGAACAAAGTGTGTGACATATCTCAAATCCATAGGATTAAACTAAACAGAGAMAATGATGCTGACTACTTGGGGTGAGGAGGAGGCTATTTCCTCAGAGACATGATTGAAATCTCACCACGTGTACATTTTAAACTGGACTGAAAAAATATTAATTAAAAACACTATGAGGAACAATTTCAAACTGGCAGAAAAAATACTAGATGATCTGGGTGGATTTTTTCATCTCCACAGTTTATAATATTCAATTATCTTGCCCAAGATGTAACATTAATTCTAACTCTTCAGTCTGGCTCACTGTCACACACAGATTCTGAACGTCAAAYGTACCAAGAAACGAAGAGCTTCCAAATTCAGCACCATCAGACAAAGGTACTATATTCTTTCACAGTCACATGAATGGTGCTTTGCAGCACCATCATCCCATGGCTGTCAAAGCCAGTGCACTTGTTCGAAACCTACCACTGCCAGGAGTCACATTCGGGCACATGGTAAAACCTCTGCTATGCAACAAGGCACTTGGAACACCCGATGCTATTTACAAAACACATTTCAGTCAAAATGACTGTGCAATACTCCCCTGGAGTTAAATTCAATGACCCTAGAACAAATTATGTGAGCATAAAAAACCTGCTTAAAATTATATCAATGAAAATTATAGCCAGAGTATACTCATAGGTTAGCCTCATTTGAAAAGCTCATACAGAAAGATAACCAGAGAGCATTGCAACTATACGTATTTAAGACAGCAATTGATCAAAACTGTTCTCATAAAAATTAAAAGCAAATCAAMACTTTTCTGAATGCTTGTACAGAACAATCAAGTTTTGATACTGAATTATGTTTTGTACAAGGATTTTAATGCATGAAAAAAAATACAACAGGAGGGACACCCCACCAGA